ACGAAAAACGAAGACACGAAAAACGAAGACCTCCAATTATTTCTCAATTATCTTATTGAAAGTATTTCAAAATCATCATAAAACAGTTGCCAAGTACATGTTTCATTATTTTATTCGTTTTTCGGGTCTTCGGTCTTCGTTTTGTAGACACCCATATAGGGTGTCTACAAAACGAAGATCCTTAATTATCTCGTCCATCCTATGTTGGTGTCACTACCAAATTAACGATGCTGCACATATGCGTCACTATACCACATTCCTACTGTTTATTTTAACATGGAACAAGTTTATTGAATGAAATATTCAGGGTTTCTGTAGGTCCCCAAAATACGCGTACCGCTAGGCCAAGCCTTCGTTAGAGGGTAGCAGCGCCAAGACGCGCTCAGCCACCAGCCGTGGACGTACAACATTGGTTGTCGCTTTGGAACTGGAATAAAGGGTAAATCATTCAATTGACTCAGATTCAGGCAACAATGTGCTAAGAAGACGAATAATATATATACATAGCATGAAGTGATTTAAAAACATTATTTTATCACGATTGAAAGAAAAAAAAAGTGGGTCTTCGTTTTTCTGGTCTTCGGTCTTCGTTTTATAGACACCCATAGGGTGTCTATAAAACGAAGACCCTTCAAGTATTTCTTGAAATTCCTCATTTTATTCCGATAAAATAATGAAATAGGTACTTGGCACCTGTTTTATGATGATTTTGAAATACTTTCAATAAGATAATTGAGAAATAACTGGAGGTCTTCGTTTTTCGGGTCTTCGGTCTTCGTTTTGTAGACACCCATATAGGGTGTCTATATGGTGTATATAAAAAGAAGACCCTTGAAAATTTTACAAACAGACGCCCAAAAAATTTCTTAATTTGGATTTTGTGAGGGCCTGGCGTATTATCATCAAAATTAAAGAGAAAAAATAGGGGTCTTCGTTTTTGGGTCTTCGGTTTTCGGTCTTGGTTTTATAGACACCCAACAAAAAGTTCAGAATTTGGAAAATTTTGCCATTCTTGTGGTGAATCTTTATTGGAGGACTCAACTTCTAATATTAATACACGAAAACGGCCAAGTCCAAATGAAAGTCCATCATCAAGTAGGCCTAAGCTTGCTCGTCTCTCATTTGAGGCTTTCAGAGATAGGAAAGAAAAGGAAAGGAGTACTAGATTCACCAAGAAAGCCGTGTCAACGAAAATAGAGAAAAACCCTGAAGTCACCATACAGATCGGTCTTTTAACGTGATGGTGTGCTGAAAAGTGTCAGGGGATCATCTCTTCCCTTGAAAGTAAATCCTTTGATAGGAATGGAGGAGCCCTTAAAAAAGGGGCCAAAAACATGATCAAGTTTAACAAAGAGCTCATCAGCTTCCCAGAGGCTTTTACTTTATTAGACCCTGACAGAAGTGCAGTGCATTTTTTCCAGGTAGTGAGGAGGTATTTTCCTTACAAAGATACAAGGAAGAGCTAGGAAAATCCTACCATCGGATTACTTTGTATTTATGGCTCAAAATGGATTATAACGAATGAGCTGAATTTGAGTCTTCTTTTTAGCATCTCTCATCTGACCTGACCTCAGTCTGTTGTCAACTAATATGAAATGTGCGCGCGCAAAGGCTTTTCCATTTTGTTTGCAGGGTTTCCTTTTTTTGTTTGTAGCGTTTCATTTTTTTGTTTGCAGCATTTCCTTTCTTGTTTGCAGCGTTTTCTTTTATTTGCTGGTGTTTTAATTTGTTTTGCTTGCAGCGTTTGGTGTTTTTATTTTTTGCTTGCAGCGTTTCTTTATTTGTTTGCTAGTGTTTTTATTTTTTTGTTTGCAGCGTTTCTTTTATGTTTGCAGCATTTCTTTTTTGTTTGCAGTGTTTCATTTTTTGTTTGCTGGTGTTTTCTATTTTTGTTTGCATCGTTTCCATTTTTGTTTGCATCGTTTCTATTTTTGTTTGCATCGTTTCTATTTTTGTTTGCAGCATTTCTTTTTTGTTTGCAGCGTTTCTTTTCTGTTTCTATGATTTCTTTTTTGTTTGCAGCGTTTCTTTTTTGTTTGCAGCATTTCTTTTTTTTGCAGTGTGTCCCTTGTGGGCCATCGTAAAATCCAGTGATGTAAGCATTTAAAGTTTAGGTGTATGATAACCAGGTTTAAGTGTATGATTACCAGGTTTAAATATAAGTTTAGGTGTACATACAGTACTGTATGATAACCAGAATTAGGGGGTATGATAACCAGGTTTTGAGAAAAACAGCATGAAAGATAAACTAATCTGCTGTAAAAATAATTAGACTAGAACTTAGAAGTACAGAATATGCACAGAGAACCTTGGAGTATTTTTTTTTAAGTAACTACCAATCATAATAGTATAAAAATTATTCAAAAATATTAAAATTAAAGTTTGGTAAAAGTTTTGACTTTAACCTATTTTGGTGATTTATCTCGATATGACTTCACCAACGGTGCGTCGCATTTAGTGTTGAGATCTTGCATTTATTCCTTCCTGAATAAAACAATCCAAAAATATATAATTACTAGAGTATATCTAATGAATGGAAATAATATGGTAAAGTGGCTTGAATTAAACGATGCATTGCATATACCTAGATCATATCTTGACATTGCTACTGAAAGTGTAACTTTAAACACATACGTGGGCATGTCACACCACGTTAATGACATCCAAATTCTAGGTGTTCTTATGATGGGCGGTCGTGTAACTCAATCTGATTATCGAAATTGAAATGTAAAAATAAATGATTGCATATGACTAATGCTTGAAAATAATGGTTGAGGATTTAATGTTCGCATAAAGAAAAAAATCTGCCTGTCTGTTTTAATATACACACCAATACATGGACTTACTTACATACAACTCTCTAAGTTTGTTTGTTTTCCAATACCTGTAGGTCTTGGAAGTATACATCGTTATTAAATGATTAAAATTTTATGATTTACAGCCAAAGGCAATAAATTAAGATTTGATCATCATTAATTGCAGTTATGGCATCAGCAGGGGTCCAGGGGGGGTAACATAAACCCTGGAACTGCATCAGTGAAGAAACCAATAGAGGCTTGCCATCCCAAAACCAACGTACTGTGACTAAATGTTAAACTGAGTAACTACAGTAGTAATGTATATCAAAGAAGCCGTAATATTTTTACTCATAACTTTGGCAATAGTAAGTCAGTTCCAGCAAATGACCCTTCATTTTAGAGCTATAGTGTGGAGAATATGAATACGTTAAAACTCAATGTTCTTGTTTTGGTCACTGATTCTGGTTTTAACAAGCTCCCAATTTTTTAATCAGGGAACACTGCTTGAAAAAAAGCATTCTTAGTCTAAGATTGGCATTTCGGCGCATTTAGTGGTGTCTGTTCTTAAAATTTACTCTAAACATTATGGGGTTGAGGTGAATTTGGGTTTTTGTTCTCAATTTGTCTAGAATTTCACCTGAAATTTTTGCCCACATAACCAGAATTCAAGGCGCAATATTGGTTGAAAAAACCTTCATCATGTTTAATCTGTTTACAAACTTTGCAACGCCTACACATTGTACACTGACATTTGAAAATGTACCCTGGGACAAATCACAAGCCGACGTGTTAGTCAATTATGATAAATATAAGAATTATAGGCTTACAGGTAGCACCTTATGTTGACAAATAATCTTGTATTCAAAACACGAGATTTCCCTAGAACTTGCTAACCTTTATCTGGCAGTGTTAGTGAGAGATAATTAAGGTGTGGTGAAATCTGTGGTCAAATGAAGTAAAATGTTGTGTTAAACAAACCTGTTATTTGTCAAAATAAATTTTACGCAGGTGGATTAAGGAAAATATTTTAATTATTGGGCGTGGCCATTATATTCATCATTCTATGACTGTTGAAAATCTAAATATTTTCAACTCTTTGTTCTTTAATTGGCTGTGATATGTCAGGCTCACAGAATGTGCTGGATTAATGGGCCATGTGGAAGTGTATGACTGCCAGAAAAGAAATTGTCAAAATTTTACACACATGGACTAAATAAAATATTTTAAATATTGGCCGTGCCCATTTTATTCGTCCTTAGTATGGATGTTGAAAATCTAAACATCCACAGCTTTCTGTGTTTTGATTGGCTGTGATATGTCTGGCTTGCAGAGTATGCTGAATTGTGGAAGTGTTGACTGCCGGGAAAAATAAAACTGTTTGGTATAATAGTTGACTACGTTTTATTTTTCCCAGAAATTATAATCCACCATTATGTTTAACCTTGGTGATAATTGACGCATTGACTGTCAAAGTATTACCTTCATTTGATATGGAGTTTTTCATCTTGTAAGACTGTACTAATAGTAAAGATATATTACTGTATGTATTTTATGATGTGGACAATAGTAAGCCTTAATACATTGAAATTAACTTTTCCTGTAAAATGAAATTCTCCATTTGTCTACATTATATTTTAAGATCAATATAATATATATATATATTTATTTTTAAAGTTATTAACAAACAAACCGTGTTGCATCTTTGATCATTATTGAGTCGATAGTGAATCAGTGGCGGATGCAAGAATTGAAGAAGAAGAGCCCAGGGAGGGACATTGACAGAAAGTTGGTTGTTCCACCAACTCAATTTATGATTATGGCACCTCAGTGGTCAGTGGCATATCTAGTAGTCTTGAAATGTGAGTGGGGAGCTAATGGGGCATGAAGGCTGAAGGGAGAAGGGAGGGGGGGGGGTCTCTATGATTAGGTGAGGAGGCGCTAGCTCGCAAAATATGGTGATTTTATAGTACTTTTCTGTGTTGAGTGTAACTGGGCCCCCAACAAATATTTTTGGGGGCGTGAATATGCCCCTAGATACGCAACTGCTCGAGATTTCTGGCACTTTGGAACATAATGTGACTATAATTTTTATGTTTTTCTCCATTTGGGAGGGTTATAAGATTAGACAATATACAGTATCAATAACAAAAATGTCGATAAAGTACAGTATAACATATAAAGAAAAAATATTTTCTTTTCCAGGTAAAAGGGCCAGGCAGCATCTTAGCTCGACGGCAGTCCAAAATGTTTCCCAATAGTACATCACTGGCTGCAATGGGAAACGCCAGCTCCACAAGGAAGAGATCACAGTTTCCCTACAACTCACTGTAATGCTTCCCTGTATATTTTATTTGATAAAAGCATGTGACATGCCTAAATATGGTCAATCTTGACCATATATAGGCACATCATGACTATATATGGGCATACAACAGTTTTTTGTGAAAGAAAATTTGATAGTCTGAACAGAGCCTAAGAAAGAACTTTTACTTTGCCAAAGAATATCACTGAATTATGTGTTTGCAGAAGTTGAGCGTGGTTTTCAGCCAAAACAGAAATATGTGTCAAACGTGTTGTGGTGCTTAAAAGAAATATTTTTTTTTAGTGAAGATGTTGAATTAACTTAAGCCTACTAGATTCTTTTTTAAAGATCTTGTAAGTACATCTCTTGAATAAGCGGTGCTCTTGAGTACTGTATGTGTATCACATCAAACATCATTTTTTTTTTTTTTTGCTAAGCACTGCTTTAAAAAATGTACTTCAGTGCTTATTAAGGCAGGCACACTCTGCATCCATGGTTGCTGCTGGACACAACTTCACGGAGACCACAACGCAACGATGCAGGTGCACAACGGAAAGTTTTTAATGATGATTTGCAGACGCAGGGATAGAATTCTTGTTTGTCGATACAGTGTGTGCCCGATCTTAGAGCTATTGCTTTTTTCAATTAGCCTGACGGCGGGCTCTTGATAGTACGTTTTACAAAGAGCGCCTTGATACTTTTTATTTAGATAAACATTAAACAACTGATTTTTATATGCCCTGCAGTGCTTATTAAGTCCTTTAGAGTAGGCAGCACACATCAGTTCAAACAACCACAGAGATGTGAAGAGAGGAGTGAGTGACTTTTTCCTCACTTTGTCCATCTTTTCCCTTTCACCCCACCAGTTTGAGCATCAATGAGATAGTTTGCTCAGATTGAAAAAGATAACATGCACAAAGTTACAGCAATGATTGAAAATATATAATACCAAAGTTAGAATTTTTAAACTATGGAGTGTGAGGGTTGTGTTCAGGCCTGCCACCAGGGCAGTTTTTAGGGGTATCAGTCGAACTCTCTTTAGCAAAATCTTATTTTCATTTTTTTGCATTTCATTTATTTCGTCCAAAAAATACAAAACGAAGAGAAATAACAATACAAAAATCAGAGACAGGATAAACAAAAAGCAAACTAAATTGCTGTACAAGGTTTCTCCACTGATACAAGGAAAAAATAAATATATAAATCTCTGTTCTCTGGAAGTAAAAACGAGCAAAAACGGCCAAGGCCAACTATTCCACTTAAAAGAGACCACACTTTTCGTATTTAAAAAAGAAATCCTTTTATGTCTGGTGGATTTTTTTTTTCAAAGTTAAAAATTGGTGTTTTTTTTTCACATGAAAACTTGCCTTTTTATAATAATAGTAATATTTATTATTTTTTAATTATATTATTTTTGTTTATTGTTGTACAGTATTATATTTTTCGTTTTATTTAAACACCCAAGCCAAGCCCCTTGGATCCAATGCACAGGATTTGTAGGTGTGTGCTATTGACTTGTGGTTCCTTTGGGTTCCTTAGAGCTCTCTTCCTTGCTCCCGGAAACTCGTGACAATTATTGTGACATGTGGATATGCAGGGTAAGCTAGCAAGTTAAAGTTTGCAAAAGAAGCAAGCTATGTCAAATGCAACAATATGCTCTGATGCTACAATAAAGAGATTTTGCAACCATACGAATACGTCATCATTATCGTCATTCGTGCCTAAAAACTTCTTGAAAATAAGCTGTACGAGTTAAATAATAATATCCTTGGATCATGCAAAAGACATGAATTGCCAACGTTGTGACTGACATGTTACTGTTGGGAATGGGATGTCCAAAAATTTGATGACGTAACCGTATTCGTTATCGTTTTCGTAAGCTTGCGAAAACTACCTAATCTTCCTGTACATACATAAAGTATCTAAAAAAAGTATATTGTTAAGCCATTTTTATAGTTTTTAATTATTGATTTGTGTGTGTGAATATTGTATATTTATTTTTTAAATATTGATTATATAAGCATGTCTGTTTGGTAAGACATTTACTTTTTTTTTGCTAAAATAAAAGTTGTTAATGAATACATTTGTCATTAGTCTGTGATTAACAATGTGATGTTTTAAAGGTTAAATAATGTTGCCCTCATGGAGGAGGCATTGTTTCCTTCTAATTCTCTTTCTATTGTTTTACTTATTTTTCGTCTTCCCATTTCATTTCCCTTTTATTCCTTTTCTCCTCCATTTATTTTCATTTTTTTTAACCTTTCGGGTCTCCTCCCCCCCCCCCAATTTTAATATTTCAGTTTGCCTCTTTCATTTTCTTATTGTGTTGTACCATACTGCTTATTTGCTGGTCTTCTCTCGTTTTCTTTTACTTTCTTTTGTTTTCTTTTCTACATTGTGACCATAACATCATGCTCTGTCTTTGAACTTATTATTCTAGACCTAATGTTTTCATGGAAAGTAACAATTCCACTGTTTAAAATACAATTGGATCAGTGTAATTTGAATTTCAATGCCGTTGTACCTTCACCCGTTGGGAGGAAAATTACATTTATGTAAAGTACGATTGCCTTTGTATATTTATCACTGGTTGGAACATGTTTTAAAGCATTTTACTGCTATAAATTGCCATTATAATGACTCGCATCGAAAGTAATCACAACCGCCGTTCTATTGTACCTAAAATATCCATGCTAAAATACCACATACAGTATACGTCCTCATGTTATTGATCAAGATTAAGGATACGGTACCATCTAATTTATATATTACTGTAAGGCCATATTTATAATCGTAGTTTATCAATAGTAAAATATTGTAAAGACCATACAAAGGCCAATAACACAATATAGATTTCATAAATATTAATGTCTTTCGACATCATACTTGATTATTACAATATCGAATTTGATATTTTTTTTTAAATTTATTTGTTTATTGCATGCGTGCTTAACAGAGCGAGGCCTTGCATGTGAACCGAGTGTAATTGTCTTAACTGTCGGCGGATGCGTTGGTCAGTGGTCTTGTAGTGTTTGAACATCGTTCTTATAATCTCTGGCTGAAGTAGTTGATGCACCAAAGTCAGGATGGCGGAGTGTTTTGCATTCCCAGCAGGCATAGATTAATACACGTCTGGCCTCAACTCGTGAAAATGTCTTAATTGCAGACAGTTTTTATTCTCTGTTAAATATAGGGCCTGGTGGCAGACTTTTAACATCAGTGTCTCGTAATATAAATCTCTGGTTCAGACATCTAATAAAAAATATATACCATACAATAGATGTCTGGCAGATAGAAATATATACCATATATTATCTGATAATTTCTGACAGATAAAAAACACACAAAAAAAAACGTGCGACCGTGTTTACCGGTTGTCTTGCAAATTCGCCCGGTCATCAAACGCTGCTGCTGAGGCAAACATTTCGCATCAAAATATGAAACGCGTTTAGGCTGCCATTAAACCAAGTATAAAAAAAATGTAGTTTCCTAATATTTTGAAAAAAGGAGAATGAGGGCATTTTTTTTTTTTTGGATGGCAAATCCAAGATGGCCGATGGGAAACAGCTGCTACTTTCTCTCTTCTACCAAGTACTTTATTGAAAACAAATAAAAGAAGCACTAGACATGATTTATACCATACTGCAATATGTATCCCCCAACCACGAACGTCCGAGAGAGGAATTTTACTGATGTGAGTTAGCCAGATTTTCGTACATTTCGTAAAATAAAGGAAATAAAAAAAATTAAAAAAAAAAATTGGTGCGGCAGAGATGCACGAGGGGACGAGAAATTAGTTTGTTTTTTTTTTGTTTTTTTTTGGCCTTATAAAGAATGTGACTTGCACTATATGCAAGCTGTAGTGCAGTTTCCTGACAGTGTTTATGTCTTGACCGCGTGATCAAATGGTGTAATTATGGCAATGGATGTATAGTAATATTACCGTTGAGAGGTTTTCTTATATATTATAACTTCATGTTTTTAACCATATGGTGTCTGATATGAATAATCGTCACGCGCGAAAGCGTGTACTTACACTAGTTTCACAGCATATAACGCGACAATCCAAAAAATAACAATCAAAAGATGTCTATTATAAATACAAGCATGGTTTAAGCTATTATTGTATTTAAATAAATTATTATTATATGCAATTAGAAAGTTCTGAGGACACTATAGAAAATAGTAGCAGAAACAACCTTCCCTGAAAAATTGCCTGATGCTTCAACGAGACTGAAGGCACTTTTGTGTCATATGTAAATTCCTGTCAATGACTATCACATTTTATTTGACAAAACATGTGACATGCCTAAGTAGGGTCATGATGACATCACATGAACATTTATATAGGCACATCATGACTATATGTGGGCATACAACATTTTGTGGTCAAAGAAATTTTGATAAGGAGCTTTCGATTTGTGCGACGACGTGACGCTACTCATGCGTGGACCGTCCTACCTGGCGTCCTACTTTCTCTGCATATACGTAGATTTGGCCAAATTGAGTTCCAGAATCTACTCGACGAGGTGACCTTAACGTTCTCGCATGCGCAGATGACTTTTAGTGACGTCATTACGTTCTACGTCCTACCGTCGTCGTGCAATCGAAAGTTCCCTATAATTGTGGAAACAGAGGAGCTTAACATGACACAAGAAAAGAGCAGTTCTCTGCGTATACGTAAAGCTTGGCACACATTGCGCTATACAACAGTCGTACAACCGTCGGCCGTGGATCTTTTCTCCGCTCTTTGTGAGAGCTTGATGACGCGACGCTGTCTGCTAATTTGTTGGTAGATCGTAAACGATCCTTTGCGCGCGCCTCGTCCGTTTTGGTATTATGTCGGCCGACGATCGTCGGCACAGTATTCAGTGCCCAACTTCACTCAGTACTAAAATGTGATGTGAATAAAACACCTATTCAATCCCCCATATTGCTTCGTCAGTTTTTTTTTTGTACTGGAGTATATGCTACATGAAAAAATAATACGTAACACAGCTGGAAAACTTGGAAATTCAATTATCATATATCATGATTTAATTATTAATTGGTCCATGGTATAATTTACGTCATCTAGGCCTATCATCGTTCACCGTTTGTATTCGGTGTGTATTACACGTGATTAGGAAGAGAAAGATTCGAAAAGCTTTGTACAGTAATTACGTCGATTTGATTTATACTTCAATTTAGTTTGTTGATAAGGTAAAATTAGAAAGGCTTTACGCGAGTTCAACCTGTCAAATTGCACATTAAATGCGTGTCCAATAGACGCTGTACTTTCTTCATCGGTTCGATTGTCGTCGGCGAGCTGTCCGGGCTCATCCAACTACTTAATAGAATTTCTTTAAACGTGGCACGTTTAGTGACATCGACAGTAAGCATAGACTGAATGAGATTTTGGCAAGTTTCCGAAGGCGCGCGCGTTCTGATGAAGTACAGAGGTTTTGATTGGGCAGCGACGATCTTGTGCACATCTTTCACGTCGTCACCAAATGGCATAGTACCAGTTGTGATGACGTAGCACACAACACCCAGAGCCCAGATATCACTAATGTATGGATTATATGCAATTGACCGGATAATCTCTGGAGCCGCGTAAGCCGCTGAGCCACAGTACGTCTTACTAAGCTCTTCTGCCGGGTTCATTTTCTTGCAGAAACCAAAGTCAGTAATTTTTACGTTACTTCCGTCGTCAAGCAGAAGATTTTCACATTTAACGTCCCTGTGAGCTATATTCAGTCCGTGAAGATACATTAAACCTCCGATAGTCTGCTTAATCCATCGCTTTGCTAACCCTTCACACACAGGTCCTCGGGATCGAGTCTGTATATATTGCAGTACATCGCCACCACTAAGATACTCCATTATCATGTAGATATTACGATTCTCCTCAAAATATTGATATGTTTTTACAATGTGTTCATGTTTAAGACTCGTAATTATTTCCAATTCACGAGGCAGAAACTTCTCTTGGTAATCATCCGGTGCTTTCCGCCGGTCAATTATTTTGACAGCAACCGTTTTCATGTTTCTTTCTAAAACAGCAAGCCGAACCCTTGAGTAACTACCTTTCCCGATATGATCGCCTAAAAATATACCGTGTCGATTGAGAACAGCTCGGTTTGAATTCTCCCCCGTCAAATTGCGATTTGTCGATCTGCCTTTGCTGTAAACATGAATTTTCTTAGTCGTCTGCTTTGACATCGTATCTCAGCATTCATTAGACCTAAACATAGGCATATAATAGTATTATCCTATATGAAAAATTACTCGTCCATTGTTTTTATTGATGTAAAATAATAGGCCTAGGCCTGCGTACCTAAAATCACATGGAAATATAGATAGAACAAGGACTGCATGCATTCTGTCGCGTCAGAAATGGAGACGCGCGACTTTCAAAATAATATGCGCTGTTTGTCATGTTGGCCCTACTAGGAGACCTAAAACTAGGTCTATGTTCATTTATTTAATTTAATAAAAATAAATTTTTTTGGACTTTCGTACTCCCAATGAGTTTAGGCCTATTTGTTCAGATTGGTAAAAATCAAAGTTTTAAGAAGGTGTAATTACGATCCATTTTTAAGGAAGGAGGAGGGATTGATTGGCCCTTCTTGCATACGCGTAGCGCGGTTTTTGACATTCTGATTTGTGAAAACGATTTTATCGCTTTCCCTTGATTATGACGTCATTTGATTTGATTTGTGAATTATTTTGTTATCGTATACACGATAAATCGTTATCGAATCGTGCTATTGTGAAAACATTCTTTAGTTCTTTTATTTTCTGTATTAACAATTGCTTTTTAGCTTTTTATCGATCGTTGATCGTTGTCGTCATAGTGTAAACAGGCCTATATTGGCTAGATCGTACCAATTGTATTGTTAATGAAGTAGATGTGTAGATAAGTGTCCTATCCCTTTTGGAAGATCTGATGTTAATATAATCATACGCCTTTAATCAATAAATCACTTAAATGTAATTTAGAAGAAAACAAGTCTAGAGTATGTTTGAAAAGAAAATTGTCCTAATTTAATCCAAATTACTAGTCTCACCACAATGGAGAGACTTCGCAAAAGAATGGTAAAAAGAAATTATTACTGTATTTTAAAAATTTTAATAATTTAATTGAATTAGTCCCTCACACGAAGTATACTTTAGAAACAATGAATCATCGTCATCATCATCATCATTATTTTCATTATCATATCATCGTCAACATCATCATCATCCTCATTATTGTAACCATTATCACATATTTTTATTATTTTGGAATGTTGAGAACATGGCTATTACCACCAATGGAGAATTGAACAAATGGTTAGCATTTGCAAAAATAATGTGGTCATGACCTCCCTCCCACCTATATGTAGCCTAATACTTATTTTGCATCATCTTTGTTTTATACAGATACGCATTGTGTAGCTTTATGCTTAGGACATAAGCCTAAAAACATTTTAGAACAAACACTTATTAACATGATAATTAGCGTGTAAAAACCACATTTGATTATGCGGAATTTGCTCTCTACTTCTGACTTATTCAATGTTAAGATTATTAAAGATTTTTGTTTTATTGAAACATTTGGTTTGCCGGCTACTTTTGCATAGAAGGTTTTTTTTGCTGTCAGACGTAACAAAATTCCCATCGCGTACTATGATTGTTTCCTTGACGATATATCGCGCGCGCTTTGAATAGAATCATGACAACCAAGCTGTAAAAATGCGTGTCACAATCGAACTCTGAAGTATCCATAGTATCTTTGATAGGATCTGAACTTTCTCAGAAAGAACTTGTATTGATAAGAATCTGTATGAGAAGACACTGCATCAAAATAGAGACAAAATTTTATATCAAAGGTGCCTTTCTGGAGGATTTGAACATTCAATTGTTATAATAACGGCCGTGTGTTTGCTTAGCAATGCCGAACACCAATACCTCCCCTGATAATGTCCCAGCTGCAGCAGCCCGCCCACCGATTCCACCTAGCGTCCAGAGAAGGATCAACGAAGAAGCTACACTAAAAAGGCGAGGCTTTACTCTTGGGCATGTATTAGGGGAGGGATCGTACGCCACGGTTTGTACATCTTTTTATGATAAAATCAACGCCAAGTGCGCGATGAAGATAATTTGTCGGCGAAAGGCACCTAAAGATTTCTTGCAGAAGTTTTTACCGAGAGAGTTAAGAATCATTCGTCGTGTTCGACATAAGAACATAATAAGCTTTTACGATGTATTTGAAGTAAACAATAAAGTTTATATCGCTATGGAAATCGCTGGTCATGGAGATCTTTTGGAATATATCAAACTTCGTGGAGCTTTACCTGAAGAAAAGTCGCGGAATTTCTTCACACAACTCATCGACGGCGTCGAGTACATGCACCGGCTTGGCATAGTGCATCGTGACTTGAAATGCGAAAACCTTCTGTTAGACGGAAAAAATAACATAAAAATTAGTGACTTTGGATTCTCGAGAGAATTTAACCAGGGTGATTTAAGCAAGACATTCTGTGGTAGTGCGGCTTACGCCGCGCCAGAGGTTCTTCAAGGAATTCCTTACCAACCGAAGGCTTATGACGTCTGGAGTATGGGAGTTATTCTGTATATTATGATATGTGGTTCCATGCCATACGATGATTCCAACATCAAACGTATGATCAAAGACCAGACGGAGAAAAAGCTCGGATTCTCTAGCAAACTAAAATTGTCAAAAGAGAGTAAAGAACTGGTGCTCTGCATCCTTCGCAGCGACGTGTCAAGACGCTATAGCATACTGGACATACGCCAGCACACGTGGATGAGCCCTGTAACTGTACAAGTTCCGTCGATAGCTAGCACTTCAGGGGCTGTAAATTGTCCACCGTCCTCAACGCTCGGCCACGCGATGCCCACCACAAGCGCTCAGTGCGGCACGGCTGATCCCCCGTTCTCGACGGCAGCCTACGGAGGTGCAAACATTGGCTTAGATTCTACAACATCTGAATCTGTTTCAAGACCAGAATCACTGGCAGAGAACAGTAATGCACAGCCAAATTGAAAGAAGATATTCAACAAAACATAATGAACAATTGTGTACTTTGACACCTAAATTATAGACACGACTCGAATTGGTAAATATTTATTACGTAAGTGATCATGTGACGATGTGATATCACAAAAGACAATACACTATTTTATCAACTGATTCATTCGTCTAATAAAGTTGCTCAGAATAGTGGATGTCTAAAAAATCCTGTATTGTTTTTATTATCTTTTAAAAACTTGTGCTATCACAATGTGAATTCACAATTTATATCAAGCATTCATTATTATGTTAGCGTTAATAATCATTTAAATAAATATAGCATTTGGATTTATAAAATAAATTCACTACCTTAATTGTATAAACTCATTGGCTTTATCACCTTCATGATAGCACTAATTTGCAAATATTGCGTACAAGATAAAAAAAATATATTTTAGACAACCATTAGGACAGATCTATAGTAAAGTGTAACAATTTCAATTTAAACATTAAATATTATATTTTAAACCAAACTGAAATATAACAACAAATTCAGCTAAAAACTATATCCGATGGAGATCGATACGCATAAGGTAAACCCTGGTTTCCATAAAATCGCTACACGCTTTCGCCCACAGCTTTTGCGACGCTGATTGGTCGGTCCGACAGGGGGGTCTTCCAGATAACGTCGGGACGATTGGCAGTATAGCGAATTCAGTCAAACACTGTAGTGACATAGTAGCAATGTTATGGAAACCATGCATTAACTATATTTTATTTAATTATAAAGGGAAGGGAAAACACCACACTTAAGCTCTCTCCAGATTTTATAAAATTTTCTTTGACAAAAAAAAAAAAAAAAAAAAAAAATCTGTAGTATCACATAATAGTCATGATGTACCTAATTAATATGGTAATGATGTGATCCATTTTTAAAATCCAAATTTAATTAAATTTCAATAATAATGCTCTCTTAAATTTATAAACTTTTTATAAACAATGTTGGTGTATATATATATATATATATATTATATATATATGTATATATGTATGTATGTATGTATGTATATATGTATGTAAATATTATTGTATTTAATGCATCATGTTTTAATTAGTATAACGCTATGGTGTGTATTGAAATATTAACGTGAAGAGTAAGACAATGATAAATCCAACGAATTATTATACAAATAGATAAATAATACAGAAAACACCACACTTAAGCTTTCTCCAGATTTTATAAAATTTTCTTTGACAAAAAAAAATCTGTAGTATCACATAATAGTCATGATGTACCTAAATATGGTAATTATGTGATCCATTTAAAAAATCCAAATTTAATTAAATTTCAATAATAATGCTCTCTTAAATTTATAACCTTTTTATAAACAATGTTGGTATATATATATTATGTATGTATATAATTATGTGTGTATGTATGTGTATGTATATATGTATGTAAATATTATTGCATTCAATGCATCATGTTTTAATTAGCATAAAGCTATGGTGTGTATTGAAATATTAATGCGAAAAGTAAGACCATGATAAATCCAACGAATTATTATACAAATAGATAAATAATACAGACAATAAAAGTGTAAAGACAATATAATAATACATAAAACAATAAATGTCATAATAATGTCTGCATTATTTAGAGAGATGACTTCAACGATACTGATTTATTATAAATAAAATGATCATTTGACGGTATAGTATCGTTTAACACAATTTCGTCAACTGAGGTCGTCTAAAAGATGCCCGGTAGGCTAACAGAAGTCTCTAAATATATTTTGTATTTTTAATTGATTATGGTAAAAACATAATAAAAAAAACAACGAAAATGGGTAACATAGCAGACGGACATGTGCAAAAATACTGTTATTTTTGCAGGATTGGGAATATTATTAGAAAATATTAACTGGAAAGCTGTAGACTATTCCGAACATTACAGTTGGGCCCAATAGATTCGCTCTATATTCAGCAATTGCTCTCTGGACTATTAAGCGCTTTCAGTTATATGTAAATTATATGTAAATGATGGACAATCGGATCTGTGTTTAGTCCTGTCTTTTAACGTTATACGTGATAGTTGTAACTAAACATAAGGTAAGGATTGTGTTGAAACGTGACAGATGTTATGTTGGAGGATGTAATATTAGGGCCTACATATTTAATTAGTTCCATTCAAGGAAAACAAGTACATAGAAACATTTAACAGAGATTGGATACCCAAATATATATATATATAAGAGACAGATATAATGTTATATATGTGGCCATTATGACGTACTAAAATTCCCTTCACCTAACCTAAACAAATATTTTGACACATTTTGTTCGCGCAGAAAGGGACACGTGTATTATGCAAAATATTCGTCATTAATACGTCCCCGTGCCTGTGTGTATTGCAAGCAATTACTTTTCATGTTCAATGAAATTACGTTACATAAAAAGTTATAATTTATAGGATTTACTTGGAGGATACAACAAATGAAAACGTTAACTTTTGTCACACAGTAACGTAAAAGGTAACGGTCATTATAGGTTAATGTAACGTAAACATAAACTTGCTGTTTATAGTAGGCCTGACGTAAACATAAGTGTTTAATTGCACCATGATTGCACGTTATACGTAAGTACCGTACTCGCGCGAATAAGCGCCCGGGCGCTTAAAATATTTTTTGCACTTTCTGAGGGGGGCTTTTTCAAACGGGACGCTTATTTAAATGGGGCGCTTATGAAAACAGAGTGGAAACAGATGAAAATCAAAGGGTTCTTATGGGAACTTATTAAATTCAAGAGGCACTTTTTGGATGAAAACAGATTATAAGGACATCACGAATGGTGGTGCGGCGGAAAACATAAATGTCCAGACAACATGGCTCATAACAAGAATGTTGTGAATGTTTACATAACAGCAGAATAGCAGATGCAATTAGTGGTGGTGGGTAGTGGTTAGCTTGTTGGCCATCGACCGATTGATATTAGCAGGACGGCAGGATTATTGCAGGTTTTCTTAATGAGATGAGAATGTGCTAAAGGTTGTCAGAAAAAGAAAAAGAGGAGTTGGACTAGGCCTAGACAAATATTAAGAAGATGAAAGTTGGAAATATACTGCCTTTCCAGGAATCGGAGCTCTCATCTGTCCAAGAGAAATATCCTCATTTTGATATTGACCTAAGAAGAAAGTGATTCCACTCTGCAGCTTAAATCATGCCAACAACTACAGTCCCAGGATTGATTGGATAATTGACTTGCTAAAAAGAAAATCTTATGATATTATTAGGGGGCACTTATTCAAACGGGGCGCTTAAGGAAATTTTCAAGTTACGGAGGGGCGCTTATTCAAACGGGGCGCTTAAGGAAATTTTCAAGTTACGGAGGGGCGCTTATTCAAGACGGGCGCTTATTCAAACGGGGCGCTTATTCGCGCGAGTACGGTAAATAAGTAAATGACAATTAATAATTGCGCATGCGTATAATATTGCACGATCCCGAAAACGGCAACGCATCATAGGCCTAATTACTGCTTATAGTAAACGTATCTTTAACGTAGGCCTATACTTGCAGGCTTCAGTATAATGTATTATCCGTAACGCTCAGTTTTTGAAATGTTTTCATTTATCAGAAGCATCGTATTTATTCTTATTGGTTGTATCGGTGGGCACTAGGTTTGCTGTGCTGTTGATGCTGGTGTAACTGTCGCCAGATACGCTGGACATTAGGTCGGTGTTTTCGTCTTGGCTTGTGCCGTAACGTACATCGTGTGTAATGGAACTAAGCACGAGGCTAACTTCTGGTATCCGCACGGCTGTGTCGATAATTAGCAGCAAAGCACTTATTGCAAACAGTAGATACACTGCAAGAGATATTTAAAGGTGATGAGGGTTGTTATTGACTATGAAGTGCTGTGATTGTTCGTAATGTGTGACGTGCGCAAAATTAACCGATGTATCACCGGCCAAATTAAGTGCAAAGATTTATACACTTGTATAGTAATCTATGATACACTAGTGATGGCGATTATTAAAATTACCATCAGCACAGTAATCATTATAAACACGGCTACCACCATTTTCTAATTAATTATCATCATCACTACCACTATATATCACCATAACCATCATTATCTTCACATCATCATCATCATCATCATCATCATCATCATCGTCATCATCATCATCATCATCATCATCATCATCATCATCATCATCATCATCATCATCATTAATATTATCATCTTTATTATATTATTATCTTTATTTTTATATTATGACATTGTGGTTGTAGTGTATGGTGGCGGCAGTCATGGTGATGTTCACTCCTGCTCCATGATAGACTAACGATGATGCTGATGACAAAAATTGCAATAATAAAAACTAGAATGATGATGATAATAATGAAGATGAAGGTGTTGATGGAGATGATTCTAATTTGATGATGAGAATGTAAAACAGTATGCTGCCGACGACGACGACGACGGTGGTAAAGAAACCCAAACTCACCAGATACCAGAACCAAATAAATGCTTCTAGACACTCTTGACCAACCAATATCTTGTGCATTCTGTCCGGGAACAAAATCGCCTAAGCCGACGGTTGTCGTCGAAATAAATATGAAGTAAAAGCTATCAAAATACAACCACCTTGGCTCGAGTATTGTGAAGATGGCGGCAGGGATTAAAACCATCAGGATAAATACGACGATCACTACAATCGACAGATGTAGTAAGTTTATACTCAGCTTCGAAACTTTGTAGTCTGAAAAGAAATATAACAGGCCTAACCATTTTTAAGTTCAAGTCTCTTTATTGACTCATATTGAAATTGCAGCTGAGGCTGAATTACATGATATTTCACAATAATGGTATTATTAAATAACATTAAAATACATTAGAATTTGGAACCACAAAACGGAACGCCAAAAAAAAGTCAAAAATCATATAAAATGCTGATACGTTTAAAATAAAATATTGACAATAGTGGTAATTATATAATAATAGCTACAACAGTAAAAGCTACAAGTGCTCTTAATAATAATAATAGTTACCGGTATTCCGCGCCAATTAAAAATATATTTTTTATTAGTAATTATTATTCTCATTGATATTCATATCAAATACGGTATTTTATAATTATTAAATATTATTATAAATAATAATAGATTAATACATCGTCGATTATAAAATATCATTAATAATACAGTACTGTTATTTTAATTATATAATTAATTATATTATATTATATTATAATGATATTATTCTCATTGATATTGATATCAAATATTTTATCATAATTCTTAAATATTATTAAATACTAATAGCAGATTTATACGACGCCAATTAAAAAATATTATTAATAATACAAAATTTGAATTACCGATATATTTATTAATCATATTATATTATATTATATTACATTATTTTATTCGCATTGATATTCATATCAAATATGTTATAATTATTAAATATTATTAAATAATAATAGCAGATTTATACGACGCCAATTAAAAATTATTAATAATACATTATACTCTTATTTAAATTATATTATTAATTATATTATATTATATCATATACCGTATATTATATTATATCATATCATATATTATATTATATATATTATATTATATTATTATATTGGTTATTATTACTATCGTTTTATGACAGACTGCCATACACTCCCTCATAATAATTCTGTCTAAAAACTAAACATCATATGTTCTGTTCGGTTGCCTGCTCTCATAAAGCTTGATGAAGAGTGATTCCTTGTTATACGAAGTATTATTACCCCTTGATGTGCTTATACTTACTTAGTCTATCTCTTAAGTGCTGTAAGAGCTTATCCGAACATTTTCCGAGAAGAGCCATCAAACGACCCAGGAAGAGTAACGTTACCGGCACGCCGATTATAATATAGATGACGCAAAATGCTTTACCTTCTGTTGACAATGGCGAAGCATGGCCATATCCTGAAAGTATAATAGTTCAGTTAACTTTACTATTTATTATCCTCTTTTTCACTTCGCTGTCATTGTTGGTGTTTTTCAAACAATGTGTATATTTTTCAAAATATTTGCAAGCATCTTTGAAGGTGGATGAAGGAGTGGGGTATAAGGGTAGGTAAGTGTCTACCTTGTTCTGTGTCCGCCGCCATCACCACCACGTCTATCATTATCACCGTCAGCATCATCTTTATCTTCATTAGTAGTATTAGAATTGTATATATTACTATAATAGGCCTATGATTATTACTGTTATCGTATTTAATATTTCTATAACTATTATTATATTCATTATCATTATCCATCATTATCAACATCATTATAGTCATCATGATATCATCATCATCACAATCACCACACCATCAACAACATCAGTATAAATCATTATTTTTATGGCTTTATTGGATGCTTTTTAGATCCTAGTTTTAAAAAAAAAGGAAACTAAACACAATGCATGCTAAAACATTTACATTGAATGTATGAATATTGTGTGTAGCAAAAATAAGCAGCCAATCTCCAGTATTTAAACAGTTCAACATTAGGTTCAACAAAACTAATGTTGACGATTTCAAACACTAGAATAAATGGATCACCGTTACATTAAATTTATTGTCGGGATATCTATATTACATTATTGGATAGCATAACATAGCAAGATGTCACAAAAACATATCGATCCCGTTAAGCAAGACTATATTCAAGTTACAAATTTGGATGAAATAACGATAATGTTATCTTCCAGAATAATCGACCCAACAGGCCTACATTAAGGATATGCATTATTATTATTATTATTATTATTATTATTATTATTATTATTATTATTATTATTATTATTATTATTATTATTATTATTATTATTATTATTAAAATACTTATAAATTGTTATTGTTATTATTATTATTATTGTTATTATTGTTATTATTATTATTATTATTATTACACACATTTGAATAACATAATGCTGATAGTGTCGTTATCTATTTTGACTGTCAAAAAACTTCTATGATAGAATAATATCAAACGGAAAGTATTAAGCCTGGCACATACTGTGCCGACGGTCGTCGCCCGACGCGATTCTATGGCTTTCCGGTATCAAACATTTTTTATTTTTTTGCTTTATTACAATTGATTGATTTACATATTGATAAGTTCGTCATCCATTGTAAGAACCCACATTTTTTTGGCATTATTTTTTTTTATCCGCAGATTTTGTTTCTGATATCTTTCTTTGTGCAGGCCAACGGTGTTTCTCAGCGTAGCATATTATGGCGGCCAGGCCTGGTGATGCAAAACAGGTCTTAATTATAGGATTTATACCAAATGAAACGTATTGGAAATTAATATTAACAGCAGTTTCCTAGCGGCGACATTATGCTGCCGTTAGTATATTTGTCCGATGACATGATGAAGTACAGCCTCGAAGAACCGATGACCAGTGCGGCTCTATACGCCAACGCTGATTATAATTAATATAAATATTAATATGGCTAATTTAAGTTAAAGTCTCGTATTTAGATTAGTTCCCACGATTTAATTACAGAGAGGAGTGCGCTAACCGAACTTCTAGCTGTGGGCTTTAATCACTGGTCTCGTTGGTAATATTTGACTTAAATGGATCGACCTATTGGTGGGTTTGTAAAGGTGCTTGGTTTTTCGTTCAACAGTCTTTAGTTGAAATCATACAAATGCAATATTTTCTTTTGAATAAAACCCAGCTCTATCCATCATGATTTGTATAATTCTCAGGGACAACGAAATGCCGCTAATCTCTACCCCCTCCCGGAAACACTGCAGAAAAAATATCTAACCAGCTCCTTAGATAAATTATTACTATAGCTTAAAGTCTGTAATACGCTAAAAAATTAATAAAATATTTAAAAATTTTTGTTTAGGTTTTCCAGAATTTAGGGCAGATGGTGTATCTTTAAATGGCGAACACTCCGGAGCTTCCGAGCTCGACGCCCCAACCACAGTCTGTTATTGTGTCCGTGTAGGCGCTATAAACATTTGTCAACACGTAGACCTATCCTGCAGCCCCACCCCATCCCCAAGTCCCCTAACATAAGTAGGCTATAAACACTCCACTGTTTGAAGTAACTGATTCCACAACCTATAGTGAAGCTACCACTGGGAACAATATATCACCATTTTGTTTCTTGCAAAGAGGAGTGGTAAATCGTAGGCCAGATGAAGAAGTTATACGCAAAACAATGGTCTAAATAAAATAATCAATGATAATAAGGAACACAAAAAAAAACCGGTGTGACGAAGTGTTATTTATAGTTGTTTCTGTTTGCTGGACTTATTTGTATTTTTAAATTACTAGACCTGTAGATTATTTTCTGACTTAAAAAATAAATTTAAGCGCCTTAAGAATAAAGATGACATTTATTATGAAGGCGCTTAATGCGATTACAGTACCACGTTCGTACAGTAGGCATTATACAATATTATTAAATAATAATGATTAGACCAAATGTACGTACATACTCCTTTTTATTGACTTAAATAATTGATATTGTATGAGAGTAACTTGATTCAATCCTTGTTTATAGATCACCCAAAGATCGGAGTAAACATACTTAATGTTGTGGCGTTCATAGCAGGCGTATCTGCCTACCAACTGATTTTTTAGTACCCGGGGGCGTTGTTTACAAGTCAACTCGCACTCATTTTATTTAATATCTAATTTATACATTTCATTACGACGTATGATTAACGACACGTTATTAATTGGCACTCACTAATATGACGTCAGAGCCTTTCAGTTCTTCAAATACTTCCCTGGGAGTAAATTCACTGAGCAAATTTACACAGGCTAATATGGTAGCATCCAGAAGAAATAGCTTAAATTAAACATATAATTTGGAGTGAATATCCTGCCAGAAGGGATCGATGAAATGAAGCGTATTGATATTGGCATGGTTATATGTATTCATTACTAATACTTTTTAATAACATTATTATTATTCAATATTAATACAGTATATAGTAATAATAATAATTATGATGATAATAATAATAATAATATAAAAATTACATTTTAATAAAGATAATGATAATGAAATATGTTAATAAGAACAATAATTATCATTATCATCATTATTATAATCGATAGGTCTGTCAAGTTGATTTCTTTCGTGTCCATTTGTAAGATCTCTGCTATAACAACTCATGCTCTTTGGAAACACAAGCAATTATCTCCTACTGCACTCTCCCTGTTGCATATCCCATTAACAATACAGACAACATTCTAACACTTAAAACCTGTCTGCAGAAGTAATGTGATAAAGTGCCTTTCTTGAGACAATAAGTAACACGATGACCCTTCGTCGTTAAACCCAACGCCTCGTCACTGAGTAACCCTGTTCATAAATTATTTTGGTGATAATTTTAGTTTCCATATTGATATTAATAATAAACGTATTATTAATATTACTGTTAATACGTTTATGAATAATAATAATAATAATAATAATAATAATAATTATTATTATTATTATTATTATTATTATTATCATTATTAATTATAATAATCAAAAATAATAATAATTGAATCTTTGAATTTGTTGGTCAAAAGTTAATGGTACTGATGTGCAGAGAAAATAATTTTCATAATAATATTAATACTAAACGTATTACTTTTTGTACGTATTATTATTACTGTTATAATGCATTAATAAATAGGCCTAATAATAATATTAATAATAATCTGTTCCTGGAGTCTTTAAAATAGGTCTAGAATATTCCTATTAAACGTTCAGTTTGTTTTGTTTATGAGTGTCAATTAATTCAATTTTCCTATAGTGTACTATGCCAATTACTAATACTAATTACTAATTGCTCATTATTATTACGTTTATTAATCGTTATAATATTAATTGAATCCCAGAATTTGCTGGTAATGGTATTGGTGTGCAAAGACTGTAGAAATAATAATAATGTAAACTTATTAATTCATATATATTATTAATCATGACATCATTATCATAATTGAAATCGTCATCATCACCCTTCATCATTATAAGGACTATTGTGGATAAATAACGGCACGGTAATAAAATCATTACATTTGAAAAACTTGAATACGGTTTCTAACAAACCGGTCCAGTCCTTGACAAAACAGACTCGAGCACTATCATGAATGTAAATGACGACAGCTGGGCTATAACGCCATTGTTCAGAATATTGCAAGTACTATTATAGCCTATATTCCGTGAAGGTTTGGGAGTGCACGAACAAGGTGGTAAAAATTCTGAATTCAAAATGTAAAGGTTTGTGTTCATAGAAATTATTACTTGACTCTACTATTTTCATAGTATTTTCAGTTACTTTTGCTGATTGAGAGTGGTGTATTCTGGATCGCTAATCCCCACCCCCTCCCCCATACACCGTCAGTCACCCCTCACCCCCTGGAAATTTTCAAATCCAAAAAAATTGGGCTTGTTAATTTTTTTTCGCCAGCTAGTTCCCTTTCACTTTATCAATGAGTCTTCCCACTTCACCATCGCCATCCCTCCCCATCCTCCTCCTTTAAACCTCTAGACACGCCATTGCTAATTGATCATTTTGCTAACTTTAACGATGTGATTGCTAGTTGAAGCCATTTTATCTGCTTAAATCACATGACCCGCCCAATAACCAGTGAATTTGGCACGTAGGCACTACAATTCTGCTTGATTTTACAGTTTAATTAAGCACTTACCCACCCCCACACTGTGTGTTTGATATCCCATACGTTGCGTAGATACTCAAGTATCCAGGGATTTCATAGTTGGATTTGGAACGGAATGTTCTAACCATCACAGTAGATTATGATTAGGTCATGCGAGAAAAAGCTCAAAACACAGACTGTATAGCTTTGCCCACACTTTCAAATTTTCTGCTGACAAAACCTGTTTTATGCCCATATTATATGTTACATGATGACATCACATCACGACCCTATTTAGGCATGTCACATTTTTTGTCAAATAAAATTTGATAGACTGGACAGGGTGTTAGTATCAATGTGAGCAATTCAAACACCGTTTAAAAACATATTGCCGTTTATACGAGTGTTAAATTTCAACTAGATTTCAATTTTTTAAGATCTCTCGGTCTCGGAATGACAATGAGACACTAACAGAATCGATTACAGTTACCAAATTCTCATCATCATAAAAAACTTTCTGCCACATGCAATATTTAAAAACGAGTGTATCCGACGTTATACCGGTATATATTTTATTTTATATAGATTCCATGCATTTGATTGGATAAAAGCTGGGCAATAATTACACCCATGGATTTTGATCGGGTCATAGTTCAAATTATAGCTCTTGCTGATCTGGAGGCCCTCTATATATATCTGGATCTGGAAGCTTTCTTCCGACGTTTAAGATGCCGTGAATTTTTCGCCGATTCCGACGGCAACACCACGGATAACACGGGCAATGTTACTAAATTCAAACCTAAAAGTACCTGGAATCCCCCTAAGAATCGTTGCCCAACTT